AGCCGGGAGGAGGCGGCGCTGCAGCCCCCGCCCCGTGGGCTTTACTGAATAGCCATTTGGCGCCTTGCGGGGAGCCAGAGGAGCTGCCCCGGCTGGAAGAGGCGGAGCGGGGCCAGGCGCTCAGGCACCGCCGCCAAGCCCGCAGCGTACTCCCGGGCTCCTCCGGCCGAGTTTGCACAAACAAAACGCCCTGGGGAAACTTTTCCCGGAGAAAAGTTGAGAGGGCTAATCTCTTTCCCACCCAGGGCTCCTACTTTCTTTTCATAGGAGACAGTGACCCGCCTGTTCTCTCTCGAGGCTTCCTCTCCTACTCTTCCCTCCCCCAGCCCGCGCGCTTGCAGCTCGCTCTCAAGCCAGGACTTGAAAGGAGGAGAAAGCAGCAGCCTCTCCGAGGCTCAACCCTACGCGGGCCGGGCCCGGTCGAGCCGAGCCAGGGAGCACCTCCCCTCGCCGCACGGGCGGAGTGCCGAGCCCTCGCCGGGCACTGTAGGGCCTCTTCCTAAAGCCGCTCATTTACTCACCCTGCCCCATTTTCTCGTCCAGAGCCCGGGAGCTCGCTGCCACCTCCGCCGCACTGCTGTCCCGAAGTGGAGACGAGCTCGGCGGCATTGGAGCGAGGGAAGGCAATGAGCCGGAGAGAGGAACAGGGCGGGAGTGAGCCGAGGGCGAGTTATTTCCTCCCCCCGGGGCTTCAGGTCTTCGGGGTCGGGCTGCGGAAGCTGGATGGAAAGGCAGCTCCCCGGCAGTGTGTTCCCATTCCCACCGCTAGAGCGTAGCTTCGGGAAGGCTGGCGCACCCACGAGGGACAGGTAGAAGGATAGGGAAGGTACCTGCAAGAGCCAGGTGGGAGGGCGGACCGGGGCCGCAGCGGAGGCGCAGAGAAACCCGCAGAACGGGGCCTCCAGCTTACCCTCTCAGCAGTTTGAGCTTCGACATCAAAGATTGTGACTGATGCCAATCTATAAACTAAGAGTTGAATGATAGTTTTAAAAAATAAAGGAATCAGACACAGCTGTGTGCACGTTATAGTTCCCAAGTGCATGCTTGTTACAAGATTCTTTACACCTGCGTATATCCTGTTGAGTATAGTCTGACAAGCTCCAATGGTGTAGGCCATTTTGATGGCTCAAAAGCTTACGTTCAGGGGAACCAGCAGTTAGCGTAATGGCTATGTCGCTGGACTCCCACGTAGTCGACCGCGGTTCGCGTCCTGGACCTGGTGGCTTAAAACTCACGCCAGGCGCGTGTGTGTGCGTGCCCAAGATCCCGAGAGGAGAATGGAGGAGAAGGGATTGCGGCGTGACCATCCCCCCTGGGGGGTGATTTCTCGCTTTCTGTCTCTATGTCTCTCTCTGTCTGTCTGGCGAGCGCACGTGCCCTACAGTGAAAATCTCTCAAAAAAAAACCAAAAAAACCTTACGTTCAGAAAATAATATGAAACTAATTTTTTAATGACTTTAAAACAATACTTTAAAAATTAAAATAGCTAGGTAGTAAAGGGGGCCACGTCCCACATGGCTAACTTCTGGGCTTGAAAAACAGTCCCAGTCTAGGGGCATGAAAAACACACAGGGGCCGTGTACCAGCATCTCCCAAATTTGGGGAAATGGAGAAATGGAGGTGAAAGGATGACCGTGTTATCATAACTCAATGGGGAGAGTTCTCTCTCTCTCTTTCTCTCTCTCTCTCTCTCTCTCTCTCTCTCTCACTCTCTCGGGTGAGCATGCACCCTCTGGCAATATTTTAAAATAAACTGATAGAGATACTTCACATGAGGGAACATCCGGAAGGGATGTAGTACTACCATCTCTGCCATATCGCCAATATCAAATCACAAATCTGTATTAGCCACTTAATCCTTGGTAGTCATTAAAATTAAATTGATATTTACAACCGATGCTTGATCAAATGCTCCTTCAGTTGTTTATTCATTGTAGCAACTAAAATGATTACTGAAATTAAGGACTACTTATCAAAGCAATTCATTTAAATGCATCTAGACTTTAGTCTTTTTTTTCTTCAGTTTCGCCACAGGGCATGTGCACTCCCCAGAGAAAGAGAGACAGATACAGAGAGAGAGAAAAGTGAGAAATCACCCCCAGGAGGGATGGCCATGCCACAATCCCTTCTCCATTTTCCTCTATGGATTTTGGGGATGCACACACACACACACACACACAGGACCTACATGATTTTCAAACCACTGTGTCCAGGAGCTGGCCATGTGGGATCCAGCTTCGTTAATCTCCATGCCACCTGTTGGCCCTGGATTTTAGTCTTTAAATAATAACTCAGGTTAAATAACTTCATGAATCACTTCTTCTTCTAAATGACTAGTTTTTACAGTTGCTTACAGATAGTGATGCACATATTGAGTAACAGTGAAACTACTCAAAGTCTCCAGCTTTCAATCACAAGATCAAGATTACAACTTTAATTAGTTTGAACCCTAATTTATGACATACTAGTAATATGGACACCATTAGGCTCATCTTAAATACAAGATGTTTTCATAACATTTCATAATTGCTGAAGGCATTTTCAGTACTCCCCAACTTTTCCTGTCCTCTCTCTGGCTCTAGGCATAGGAGAAGTTTATACTATCCACGCCGCTGGAATTAGGAATGGCCATGTGATTACTCTGATTAGTGGCAGGTGAGCAAATGTGAAATGTTTCACTTCCTGAAGCAAAACTTAAGAGCCAGTGATGATGTCGATGTCTCTGTGCTCTTCCCTTGCTGTCGCAATCAAGGAAGTTCATATTAAGACTGAGGTGCAGGCTGAAGGATCCTGGAATACCACACTATTAACCTGAGCACTGCTGCCTTGCAGAGTCTCAGGACAGACAACCGAATCTGTATAAGTCAAAATAAATTCATTTTGGGTTAACCATAAACTATTGGAGTGATTTATTGCCCAGCATTACTTAGCGCACCTTAGGCATGGTCATGTCTGATAACTTTCAGAACCAAGACATACAGTGTTCTTCTAATATGGAACTAAACTATTCCCACTACAGTCTGCTTGCTATATATTGAGAGTTCATTAAGTCTTTTATATTTTATGGTGTAAAGCTTCTCCTTTTCAATTTTTCTCCCTCTAGTTATAGAGGACTATTTGAAAATTGCCCAGGTTTCCAAGATTTTGCTCAATTTCCCCATTTGGAAATGGAGGGGGGTAGAAATACCCACCCCTATTCTCATACCCCATCAAATCATTTTTAATGCATATCCTCAAGGATTATCACCTGGAAAAAACTTTTTTGACTGCATAGTTAGAAGCATCCCTTTCCTTTCTTGAGACCTGGTAGATTCAGTAGGTAGGACAAGGACCTATGACATTACGTTTCAGTTATTCGTGTATACAATAGCAGAGTTAGAGGGGTTTGATTTTAAAGAGCCATATCTTATCCTTTTCTCCTGAAAGCATGGACCAGAATTCAAGAGACTCTTGGCAAAGAACATACAATATATGTGATATGCGTGTATATAGTTTTGTACAGCAAAACCAGCAATGTCACATAATAGTGTTCAATTTTAATGAAAGCATTCAGGCTTAACATTTCATGGCTGCCATTTAATCTGAGCAAGCATTCTTTTTATTAATATCTCTGCGTGCAAGAGTTTATTGATAGAATAAAGAAAATGAAGTGTTTTTTTTTTTTGGAGAGTTGTTTTTTTTTTTTTTTTTTTTTTTTGGCTATAGGGTGCATGCACTCGCCAGACAGAGAGACAGAGAGACAGAAAGCAAGAAATCACCTGCAATCTCTTCTCCTCCATTCTCCTCTCGGGATCTTGGGCACGCACGCACACGTGCCCGGTGTGAGTTTTAAGCCACCGGGTCCGTAATGCGAACTGTGGTTGACTATGTGGGAGTCCAGCGACATAGCTATTACGCTAACTGCTGGTCCCAAGAAAATGAAGTTTTAAAACAATTGCATTTAATATATCCCCAATGTACGTAATTCTGATAAAAACTGATAGAGATTATTTGGTCCATTGTTCAAGAACCATTGTTTATTATAAATTTTAAGGGCAAATATAATAGCTAAATGCTGCATTGCTGCATTATTGATGTAATTTGGGGCTTTTTTTTTTTTTTTTTTGGTTGATTGGTTTTTGTTACCAAGTTCCTTTGAGAGGGGGAAAGAGAAACCCCACCCTTTTTTAGAAAACACATCTCAATGGAATATGGTCTTGCGACAATCCTTTCTCCTTCATTTTTCATCCAGTTGGAATTTTGGGCGTGCTTGTGTGCACAAACACCTTGCATGCTTTTCAAAACCCCAGGGTAGGGATTCAACTCCAATATTTCATGGTTTAACCCAAAACAAGTTTATTTTGACTATACAGATTCATAGTCATTTTTATTTTCAAAATGAGATTTTATTCTCATGAGATTACAAGTATATTTTTAGGGAGGTTAGTTGAGAGTGAGGGTTTTATTTTCTTTTTTAGAGAGATTTTTGCTATAGGGCATGTGCACTTGCCAGAGAGACAGAAAATAAGAAATTATCCCCAGGGGGAATGGCTATGCCATAAATCCTTCTCCTCCGTTCCCTCTCAGGATCTTGGACACACACACATACATGCTCCTGGCATGAGTTTTAAGTCACAGGTCTGGAACTCAAACCACAGTCAACTACGTTGGAGTCTAGCGATGTAACCATTACACCATCTGCTGGTCCCAAGAGTGAGGGATATTTTTTACAGTTAATTTTATAGAATTTATTGGAAGAGAAGGCATCTTTTACTACTAGATTCCTAAAAAAGCAATATGCCCTGGTTTTCCTCTATGACGTTGTGTTTTTGCTAATATAAATGTTTGATGAAAATGATAATATTTTAAAGGAAAAATGTAAGTTGCACTTTTCATAATCCTATGTTTAGAATTACAAATGTATTCTCATGTTATGTGCTTTTTCTCTTTTGGAGAGTCATTTCTAATCAATCATTTTAGAGTTTAAAAGTACCAAAATAGATGTACTTCATTGCCAACTTGAATTAATTTTTTAACTTCACAGATTTCTGGGGTCAGCAGGTGGTATAGTAGTTAAGGCACTGGACTCCCACATGACTGACTGCGATTCAACTCTCAAACCAGCAGCTTGAAAAATCACACAGGGCCTGTGTGCGTGCTTGCCCGAAATCCCAAGAAAAGAATGGAGGAAAAGGGATTACAGCATGGCCATCCCCCCCAATGGGTGACTTCTCACTTTCCTTCTCAGTGGCTCATCTCTCTCTCTCCCTCAAGCTACACAGCCTATGGTAAAATCCAAAATAAATGAATAAATAAAAAGAAAGTGCCTTCCATGGGGAATGGTCATACTGTAATTCCTTCTCCATTTCTCCCTCCTTTCAGAATTTTGGGCACGCTCGCACATGCCTGACTTGTTTTTTAAGCTGCTGGGTCCAAGATTCAAACCACATAGCCATGTGGGATCAACTGCCTTCACCGCCATGCCATGAACTGACCCGATTTTATATGTAAAACATGAAAAAAGATCACTATACATTTCCATAAACTAGAATTTCTAAGATTATATAATTATTAAATGTTATTGCAGTAAAGGAACATTTATTGCATATCACTTATACCAAAGTGCTGGATTAGAGAAGAAGGATGGTAAGGTATTGCTTCTGCCCTTGAGGGTCCCACAGACCACTGGGCTCATGACTATTGTTGTGGCTCTATTATCAAGTTAGAACC